ACATGTAATACAACAAAAAGACATCAAAGAGAGTCCAACCGCCTCAAGCCTCCCAAGCTACGTCTTTGGAGGTGGGGCTTGAATTACGTGTAATACACAAAATAATTACAAAAGTAAGCCTTCAGCTTCAAAAACCTCCCAAGCTAAGTCCTTGGAGGCGGCATATCACTTGCACCTGAAAATGATGTCCCATATAGGGTGAGCCAACGCCCAGTAGAGATATGCTAAACATAATATGAATAATAACTAAAACATGAGCATTCGATAAATGTTAACCCTAGTCAACCAACTTACAACACCATTCAATCCCATGACAAATATGTCCACGTTCATTTTGCTTAACAATTTCGATTCATAAATATGGCTCAGAACCTGGCCAAACAATTTAAATGAGATTACATCTCTTACTAAAATATTTCCTTTATCCACAATTCATTTTTAAATGAGATAACACTCATATCAAAACACTTCCATACTTCACAATAGATACACATATTTGCTGTATCAATGACATATTAAAACACTTCCACACTTCATAAATGATACACAGATTTGCTGTATCAATGGAGTCCATCCCCTATCTCCTCCCAAACAACATCCGGTTTAAGTGTCCATCCCCTATCTTCCCCTATACCGTGGAGTACATCCCCTATCTCCTCCCACACAAAACAATGTATATAAACAATTATCATATACACGATAAATCAATACACAGATTCGATGTATTATTCCAACCGTCATATTCAATGACATATTCAATGTGATTAGTTTTAGTTTTCCCTAATCAACATACAGTGTCTATAACAATCACGACTATCCTCCACCGATAGTCCAAAATAATTATTTCTAGACAGATAATAAATGCATCACCAGATAAATTATCAATATTTTTAAAAGTGAGTGATTAATCAATCCAACTCCACCATTCTTTCTCATAACTTCCCAATTTCACTATTTCACAATGAAAGTCATTAATTACACTAATGACCCAATAAAACCCAAATATGGCATTTTTTTTTCCGTTTTTCCAATATTGACCCAAAGGTCCAAATATTATCATTAAACAACCACCATCTCATTTTAGGACCCAAATACACATGTATTGGCCCAAAAGAACAAAACCCCTCTTTTCATATTGAAACCCTAACACCCACAATTACCCAACTTCAACATTACATCAAAATGATAATAAGTTTATGTCAAAGACCATAAATATGAGTAGTTATCCCTACCTCAAATTCAGAGCCCAAAAGAGAAGGTGAAGAAAATCGAAAGTGCTCCAAACTCCAAGATTTTCGGATTGATAGATAGCCCAAGCCAAGCTCTACACTTTTTACAAAGGAACAAGGCTAGAAACACACCAGAACTAGATCAAACCTTAGAGAGAAGGTGAAATATAGTAAGAGAAGCTCTCAAAATAGATTTTGAAAAGTAAGAGAGAGAGTGAGAGTTGAAAAAGTGATCTGAAATGACCCAGCTGGCAACTAATATACGTATGACTCGCTGCGTCAAATAAAAAAACTGGACCCGCTCGAGCGCAAATATACCCGCTCGATCGCCAAGACACAACTGCAAAACTCCACCCGCTCGAGTGCAAATAAAACTCCGCTCGAGCGTAGATTACACTCTTCTAGTATTTTTACAGACATTGAACACCCGCTCGAGCGCAAAGATACTCGCTCGAGCGCGACGCGCTCGGGCGTAAGGAAATCCTCTCGAGCGTGAAAAACACATCTGCAGTACTTCTGCAGATGGACAAATTACTGAAGGTGTGCAAACTCCGCTCGAGCGCAAGAAGACCCGCTCGAGCAGATCACCAAAAATCTCGGCAACAAGAGTTGGGATAAACGCTCAACCAACCTGTTCAAAACACGCTCGAGACAATTCTAAACTCAAACCCCAAGAGTTAAAGGACGGGAATGAAATACAGACAACAACAACTATCAACAGAACCGAGTCCGGAAAACAATAAATAAGGAAGGGAAAACAGGGATCGCTATATCATAGGTGTCACGTTACGTTTATGTAGATATAATCTATGGTAACATTCAATTTCCTATATAGGAAATTGAATGTTGCCATAGATCATAGGTGTCATGTTACGTTTATGTAGGTGTCACGTTACGTTACGTTTATGTAGATATGATCTATGGTAACATGCAATTTCCTATATAGGAAACTGCATGTTATAGGAAACTGCATGTTACCATAGATCATAGGTGTCACGTTACGTTTATGTAGGTGTCACGTTACGTTTATGTAGGTGTCACGTTACGTTACGTTTATATCTTTGTCTGATGATGTGGCTTGCCCTTTACGTGCCACGTGTCTGAGTATCATTGGTCATTCATGTCATGTTGATTTCCGGCTGTGCTGGGCCTTATCAGTTGGGTTATGTCTAGGGCCCTAAGTGGTAGGCTTGGGTTGTTCATAGTGGGTTATGGCCTTTCTAGGCCTAACCACATCAATAATAATTTCTCCAATATTATCTCAACGTTCAACACTATCAAAAACCAACGGCAGTACTCGTCGGGGCTTTTTCGAAAATAAGCTAAAATAGCAACTTATTTTTCAAACTACGCTTAATTTGGACGAAATTTCCAAAATAAGTTAAAACGTTATTACAAATCACGCTTTCACCATATTTCTGACCCGGTTGCGAAAAATTGATAAAATCGTAAAAGAGTGGTCACAAACCACGCTTTTAATTAAGAAAGCGTGGTTACGAACCGTGCTTTTAAGGAAATCTATTTTTGTGAAGAAGGCGTGGTTAGAAATCACGTTTTTAAATAAAATTGTTTTGTAACCAAAACATAAGACAAGTAGGGAGGTAGTTCAAACGGTAGTGTGCTATACAGGGTTCAATTCCTCCCATCTCCAAACTCTTGTTTTTTTCAAATTCAATTCAAATTTTTTTTTTCCTTCCACTTACTCTATACTTTATATATTTATTATGTAATTTTTTTTTTATCAAAAAAAGTAAAACATTTGTTTGGTTAACTAATATTTATAATCAAAATTATATTTACAACAAAAAATAAAATTTTTTAATATTTAAAATATTAAAAAAATACAACACATAAATATTTATTTATTTATTTATTTTAATGTGCACTATATTTCATACATTTAGGTTATATTTTTTTAATATTTTAAATATTAAAAAATTTTATTTTTTGTTGTAAATATAATTTTGATTATAAATATTAGTTAACCAAACAAATGTTTTACTTTTTTTGATAAAAAAAAAATTACATAATAAATATATAAAGTATAGAGTAAGTGGAAGGAAAAAAAAAATTTGAATTGAATTTGAAAAAAGCAAGAGTTTGGAGATGTGAAAAGTTGAACCCCATACCTCTCTTATGGAAAGGAGGACCACTATCATTTGAGCTACCTCCCTACTTGTTTTATATTTTGGTTATAAAACAATTTTATTTAAAAGCGTAGTTTCTAGTCATGCTCTCTTCACAAAAACAGATTTCCTTAAAAGCGTGATTTGTAACCACGCTTTTACGATTTTACAAATTTTTTACGGCAGGGCCAGAAAAATGGTAAAAGCGTGATTTGTAATCACGTTTTACCTTATTTTGGGAAATCCGTCCAAACTAGACATTGTTTGAGAAATAATTAAGTATTTTGACTTATTTTGAGAAAAGTCCCAATATTTTGACTAACCAACATTATAGTGTAATGTAATGGTTTAGGATGACCTCACTACAACTTCAATTGTGCAATTTTTTCATCTATCTATGATCTTACTATGTATTTGTTTTTGTTTTTATTTTGAGTCATAAATTTTACCATGTAAATGTAATTATTTATGAAAATTAAACATAATTTACAATTTCTCTCTTTTTTTTCTACTCAATAACTTTATTTTAATTAATTATATGTTGTATTTAATTTTTATTATTAATATGATACACTAATCAATAAGAAGAAAAGCATCCTCATTTGTTACTAGCTTACACTACAAGAAAATGCAGAATTGGCGACTAAAATAAGTATTTTCGTCGCTGAAAGTAGTACAAATGGCGACTAAAATCAGTTTAGTTGCCAAACTTGAGCACTTTTGCCGACTAAAGCACTTTAGTCGTCGAATATAGGGCTTTTAGCGTCTAAAAGTCAGTTTAGTCGTCGAATATAGGAGTTTTAGCGACTGAAAAAATTTTAGTAGCTAAAAGGCATGGTTTTTGGAGACTAAAAGCATTTAGTAGCCAAAACTATAGGTTTTGGCGACTAAAAAATACTTTAGTCGCCGAATATAGGTGTTTTACCGACAAACAAATTTTTTGTAGCCAAAAGTAAAGGTTTTTGGCTACTAAAAAAAATTTAGTAGCTAATAGTGGACAAATGGCGACTAAAACTGAGTTTAGTCGGCAAAAGTGGAGCTTTTGGCGACTAAAAATTAGTTTAGTCGTCGAAAGTTGTTTTTTTTGGGCGGAAATTAATGTATTTAGCGACAAAACAGCATTTAGTAGCCAAAAAGCATATAATTGGCGACTAAAATTCATATTTAGTCGCCAAAAGTGCTCCCCTATTTTTTTTTAGTAAATAATTTATTTTTTTCGTAAAATATATTAAATAAAAATAATTATTTATATATATATTGTTTTCTATTAATATCGGTCAATATATTATATAAATAATATATGTTGCATTTATATTCATGTGATGTTCTTGTGGCGTAGTGGGGAGAGTGTTGGTAAAGGTTTACAGAGGCTGGGACGTTAGTGGTTCGAAACCTGGGAGCAGCAAGAAGACACCCAATCAAAAAATGCCACGTAATTCATAATGAAGCTAACTAGCTGGAGCAAGCCTGTTCCATCCAGACGAATTAAAGATAAGTATAAAGAATCACCCAAAATATCTTTGACCCACGAGCATGTCGAAGACACCCAATCAAAAAATGCCACGTAATCCAATTCACAGCTGAATGTGCCTATGAAACAGTAAAATACAATCGTGATTCGTCATCACATTCACTCCCTCCTCCCTTCCTTAATCATAACGGCTCCGAAACCGCCCACTCCTCCCCTCTACTGTATCCAACCATTCCACTCCGTCCCACTATATAACTCTCTTTCTCTCTCCCTCCATATCTTCCCCCATCACTCTCTCTCTCTCCACCTCTCAATTCTCTCTCTCTAAAAACAATTGCTATACCATGTACACAACTAGTGATCATCAAATGTTGCAGCGCCAGCCAAGACCTTTGGTGATGGAAAGAAAGTGGAAGTCCAATGCTGCTGAGATAGCACCCAATTGTCCAAGATGTGCCTCAACAAACACAAAATTCTGTTACTACAACAATTACAGTTTCTCACAGCCGAGGTACTTCTGCAAAGGCTGCCGCAGGTACTGGACCAAAGGTGGTTCCCTCCGCAATGTCCCCGTCGGCGGTGGCTGCCGCAAAACCCGCCGTGCCAAGGCATCCCGGTCCACCATTACCCCTCACAGTCCCAGCCCACTAGACCTACCCACCACCACATCTACTGACCCATCACCTTTGGTTCCACCAGGTGGGTCAGGTGGGTCAGATATTGATCTAGCTGATGTCTTTGCCAAGTTCTTGAACCAGAGTTCCAGTGTTGGAGATTCACAATCAACTCAGTTACTTGATGATGGGATTCCTCCTCAGGTGTTTGATCAGGTTCAAGGAGAAGAGGGGGTTCATGGGTTTATGGGTCATGATGATCTGAATTGTTTCGGATCGGAAACTGTGCTTGTTGATGAGTTGGGTCAAGAGCTTTTGTGGTCTGAATCTGATGCGAATTTGCCAGTTTTTTCAACGGTGGAGGAGTTGCAAGAGTTTGGATTATTTTCATCTGATGATGATCAGTCCAAGATTTCTGCAAACTTGATTAGTGATAATAATTGGAGCTTGTTCGATTTACCAGCCGGCTTATGAAATTTGTTCAAGACCCTGAAACCTGAATTAAAGGTTTCATTTTTTTCCCCCACTTCTCTATCTTTTTTCTTGTGAGTTATTAAACTGTAACATTTCCATGAAAATGGTTTATGAGATATATGAGAACACTATATATATAATCAATTTACAATAAAACCACATGTTAGTGGCAGGTAATCTTCCTAATTTTGTTAGATTGTTTTATGCAATATTGTCAATAAAATAAAAGGTAATTGACCTGAAAGTAGATCAAATTACACAATTTTGTTTGGCCAGAAAGTATTTTTCAGCATTTATTTACGCTCCATCGGGTTGTTTTTTGCATTTTCTTACATTTGGTACAATGAAAAATGATAGTCAACAAAAGAGATTTTTCGTTATCATCAGAATACAAGTTAAATGGAAAATATTTTTTAGACTAATGTCATACCAATGCCACTACCGCTACGAACCGCTACTATCACCTGTACCACCCCTCCACCACCGATTCAACAACCATGTGACATGGTTTATCGAGGTTCAATAATTTTAGGAATGCATAATCAACTACAAAATTGTCATACATGTGAATTATTATGGTCTATTCATTCAGCAATACAAGGCTCATTACAAGCCTACAACACCCATATCATTCTAGAAGTAAATTTTGCGTACAAATTCTGATGAAATAGTCGTTTTTTTTTTCCCCCCACAGAATTGATCATATAACAAATGTAGTTGGATTGGAACAACTCAAGTGAAACAATAAAAGGCCGTTTCATTGATTGATATGTATATTTTAAATTATTTTTTGTGATTAATTTTGTGTCGGCAGAATTATTGTTCAGAATTTAGGACCATCAAATGATGCATCTCGCACCAAATGCTGGCGAAGGACTACTGCCAACAAACTTAGCAGTAAAATGTCCTTGTTACATTAAATAAGAACAACAACTTTTCTTTTCTATTTGTAGTATTGCTGTCAATGCTATGTTTCAATTTTGATTTATTAGCTCATCCAAAATTGGACACTCTTTTTCAAGTTTGCTCTAGTTTCTCTACTCGTTTTGGTCCCCAGTTATCTACTATCAATGTAACGAGCTTCATCCCACAAAATAGATATTTCTAATTCTCTCCGTCGGTCATGTTTGTTTGGTGAACTGAATTAAATGAGATTAGTATTGTTTAAAAAAATTTTTACTGAAACAAAGAGAAGTTAATAAAAAAATCAATCCCAAACACCCATCGTGCACTTATTTGAACATGCGGAATTCCCAGATTTATTGTGTTCCTCTTCCATTTTGTAATAATTTTATTTGCAATATTGCAAAACCAATGTTTTATGACATAAAGGTATGTAGTATTATCAAAATTTAAATTTAGATGTATCTATCTCAAAAATATACCTTTAGAGATGTATCCCAAAATGGTGAGGTTGAGGGGTTGGTTGTATGAGTGCGAGTAGTATTAGTAAGGATAATTCGTACTTTTCGAATCTCTCTCGATATATATCATCTTTCTGTACCTTTAATTTCATGCTATTAATGAAATTTTTCTTTGCCGATCAAAAAAAAAAAACTTCATGCTCTCAGCTCCAAATCCAAAATATGTTTCCAAGAAAGAATTGTCATGTGTCAATTGACGCCATCTCCAGTAAACCTTACTATTTCAATGGTGTGCTAATGTCATATTTTAACATGGTATCTAAATTTAGCACGATAAATAACACTCTGTTAAAGTGTATTTTTAGTATCCATTGTACTAAATTTTAATAATAGCACGATAAATAATACACTATTGAAGTTGATCTTATAAATGCATCGTAGACATCATCCACATCCAATATGAAATGCCAACAACAGTCATTAAAACTCAAATGTTTGGTTTGCAACAGTAGAGGGCATGGCACTAGACAGTGTAATTGCATGTGATCTGTTGCAAACTAATGAGTGCTATTTCCATTCATAACTCCATCAAGTACTTGGTAACATTGTGGAGTGGCAGTGCTTGTGAGTCTCTCCAGTATTCACAACATGTTGGGGCTGCTAGGAGTTGCGAGTCTCTGCAATAGTTAAGTCACTGTATATGCATTTTAAGGCCAGACTGAGCATTGGGTTCTATACTTCAAAATCTCGGGGTCTAAAAATCCACACAGAAGATACAATAGAATCATTTGTCCCATTTCTCTCCTGTCTCTAACCGTGTGGTACAATAATAGAGAGGCCGTTTAGGACAAGAGAGAATATGAACGGAGAATCCGATGTCTTAGAAATTATAATTCTAATACTGTGTTTGGTTGAGAGATTTGATGAGGGATTTGGAAAGGGTAATAGAAAAGGTAGGTGAAATGCGAATAAAACATACCTATATTTCACCTAGTTTCACACACCTTTTCCCTTTCCCTTTCCAAATCTCTCCCCAAATCCACCAACCAAACACAGCGTAAATGCTTCTTGATTCCTGCTCGGCTCGCCTAAAGATGTACTGAGGATTTAACTAATGAGAAAAACAAATTGAGTTTTGATCATATTTGTAAAAGAAAAATGTTTGGGAGCACTAATTAGTGCTCCCACTAATGAGGTGGCAGTGGGTCCCGCCATTAATGATGTGATGTTTTGGTCTTGGAGTTGTATTTTTATTTTTATTTTTTTACTTTTTTAATGCATTAGTGCTATTAGTGGTGATATTTTTAGTGGGTGACTTTTTGACTTTTTACGAAAAGATGTGTAAAAAGTAAAGAGAAAAGAGAATCTTTGACTTTTTGGTATGAGTTGTTGGCTTTTTGACTAATTTAGTAACTTTTTGACTTTTTAACTAAAATGAAAGGTTCCCAAACGAGGCCTAAATCTCGTTTACTTATTAAATTGGGTTTCCACAACTTTGCTATTTGACTTAGCTTAGCTTATTTTACAATACAACCCTTGGAGATTGTGCCAGAAATGTTGCTATCATTCCATCGGATACATGTTATAAGTTGCTGATTTTGTCGACTCTCACTCACAAACAGATATAGAGAGAATATATATATATATATATATATATTGTATTGGGTGAACTCATTGAGTTGACTCACTTGGGTTGGCTTAGATTCTAGAAGAGTAAGTTGGCAATTTTCAAATCTAGAAGCTGAACCTACAATATCAACTTGCAAGCAAGTAGGCAAGTGGATGCCTTGTAAAATTTCCAACTTGTCCCAAAAAATGTGTATAAATAGAGAGATAGGAGGAAAGCAAGAGCAAGCAAGTGAAGAGCATTAAGTCTTAGCCAAGAATAGTAGAAAGAGAGTGAGTGAGGTCAAGTTGAGAGAAATAAATACCTTGGTAATTTCTTTATTCAGTTTAGTGAAATTCTGTTACTCGTGAACGTAGGCACCTCACCGAACCACGAAAATCTTTGTGTGTTCTTGTTTGGTTGCTTGTTTGTGTTAGTTTTTGGGCCCTAAGCACAACAATCTAGTATCAGAGCACCCAGATTGCGAAAAAATTGCTCCGAAGCTCAGTTTTTCAAAACTTCCTTGAAACCAACTCTGTTCAACTAAACTTTTGATTACACCAAATTGATCCTCTCATCACCAATAGTCCAACGGTGTAAAGATCAAAGCCAAACTCCAACGGACGCTCTCTCACACAGTGCTTGAAGATCAGCGCGTGACACCATTCTCAAGCATGCGCTCCACTTGTTGTCTTCCTCTGTCTGGCTATTACATCAGCTCAACGTCAGCGTGATGCAACACTATTGTTCGGAAGCCTAGCTCTCAGCCGATCAAGTGAGCTGATTAGCACCACGTTGAAGCCAAAACAACCAGAACCACATCAGCATTTGTCAATCAGTCCACATAGGCAGCTGAGCTCAGCGACACATCAGCGCTATGCCATCTACCACATCGTAGCCCCATCATTAACATGTCAGCACTCGATTAGACAAGGTGTTCCATGTGTCAACCATGTCAGCAAACCCTACCACGTTAATGTCATAGTAAGATTGAACGATCGATTCCTTTCTCGGACGGAATATTCTTTCACTTTAACAAAATACAATTCTGCTACGTAGCTCGAAATATTAAAGGCTCGAATGGTTCGAAATCCCAAAACGACATTGTTTTAGAGTTTTTTTTTATTCTCTTACCGGTAAGATAATATTTTCCGTACCATTCGGGTCATTCGGGCTCTACGCATTCGAGCTACGGATCATTTTCGAACAAAATATTCTCTCCTCTAACGGAATATTCCTCATAAAAGGTTTCGGTCAATTTTTGAGCCAATTTTGGGTTGTTTTTTACACTAGAATACTTGTTCCTAGCTAAATCGACAGTTCCGAACGTAACCGCAGATTCTGTTTGTTGAGATTCGAACCTGAAGTTTGAGTGAAGTCTTCAAGCGTCCGTCATTGCTTGTAGTTGAGTTAGAAGAGTTCTAATGGCAAAAGCTTCAGTACAAAAGGTGGTTGAGTCTTCAAGTTGCTCAAAGCAAATGGCTACAATGTCCAATGCAAAGTTCGAGGTGAAGAAATTTGATGGAACCAACAACTTCGGCATGTGGCAATGCGAAGTTATGGATATTCTCTACCAGCAAGAATTTTCCATTACTTTGGAAGATAGACCAGTTTATATGAGTGACAAGGAATGGACATAGATCAACTGCCAAGCTTGCAGCACCGTTCGATTATGTCTAGCAAAAGAATAGAAATACTCTATCATGAGAGAAATTTCTACAAAGGAATTGTGAAGGAAACTAGAAGAAAAATACATGACGAAGAGCGTAGAGAATCGACTCTATCTAAAGAAGTAACCTTTTCATTTCCAATACAAGAAAGGTACTTCAATGATATAACATCTAAATGTTTTCAATAAAATTCTTGCCAATTTATTGAATCTAGATGTTGAAGTTGAAAACGAAGATAAGGCACTATTATTACTAAATTACTTGCCTGATACATATGATCACTTGACAACCACATTACTATTTGGGAAAGAAAAATTAGTTTTATGGAAGTTTCTAATGCCTTAGTGAATTATGAGTACAAAAAAATAGACAAGTCTAGGGACACATCATCAAAGACATTGATAGCCAGGAGCAGGACTAATAACAGAAGATCTGGAAAGCAAGGGAAGTCTTGCTCAAAGTCAAGGGAAAAATCACTAGACAAGAGATGTCTTGCAAAAGACAAGTGTACTGCCTGTCACCAAAAGGGGCACTGGGCAAAAGATTGTCCGAACAAAGACAAGAATGAGACAAATGTTAACGCTGCATGACATGTAGATAAAGATGAAGAAGGAGTCTTCAC